AGAAAATTAACTCTATCCCAGCCGAAACCAGGACAGTGGCCAAAAGTAGAGGCCAAAGGAAGAATATAAAACAAGGCAAGCAAAGCTGATACTCTTTACATCCCCTACTCCTATAATCTCCCAGCCTCCAGCTGTTTGCAGCTCAGGGGCTTCCTCAACATAATTTCTACGTATTTAGTAATCCTCAACAGACTACTTTGCCACAAGCTTGTTCAGTCTTTCAGCACGTGTAAACTTTTCTCATTCACACTACCCGATGGCAAGGGAGGTCCCTAGCTGAACTCTGCCACATGGAGCACCACCACCTTTTCTTTATTCCACATCTGCCCCCATCAACTTCGCTGCCACCTACCTTCCTGCTTTGGAGGACCCATGGAGCAGCCAAAACCCTGTGCCTCTCATGCTGGTATAGACCCTGCTCAGATCACCTCTAGCACTCCTCTTCCAGACTGAAGAGTTCCACGTCACTCTGTCATTCCTAGCATGGGAGCTGAGGAGCTATTTTGATCATGTTTTCAGGTGACACAGAGAGCTCAGATGTCTTGTGGCATATGGAAGCCATTAGTTAACTATATTTAAACATCTGTTTACCAATAGTAACACTAGTTTGGAAAGTTTACACTCTTAGACGTTTTAATAATAGAAAGGGCTTGTTTGTTTATTTTATTGTTATTACCATCATCATAATTTTTATTATTATTATCTCCTAGTTTTGCTGTTCTTATGACTGCGCTGTTCTAGTAGACTTACTCTGGTGTACACCTTGGTCACAGTCAGGAACAGGACATTGGGCTATGTGGTCTGACTCTGTTACTGTTCTCACATAATATTATATGTGAATGTATGTGTACAAATAATTTTCTGTGGTATCATTTCTAATCTGAACACTTTTCAAATTAGCATTCTAAAGATTACTTTACTATCTATATATTCTGTACATCAAAAGACAAACTTTTAATAAACACTGAACAACTGGCAGTAGGCAATAGTAGCCTTGTTACCAAATCCAAGATGCTTGCCTAGAATATTTATCATTAGCGATAATTAAATCTCAGCTACAGTTTCAGACTAATGTTGAGGCACACTAGTTATTTGTTCGTGTTACTTTACAAAGGGAAAGACCTGTAACCCATTGAACCAATCTATATATTTACAGTGACCTCAGAGGCCTTGGCTAATTCATTAATTGCAAACAAAAAAGGGCTCTACCATGTAATCCAGTTTTGTAAGAGCAGATCAGTGTAGCAAGATTTAGTTAGTGTTATGTAAGATGTTTCCTAAAGTTTAGAGCTAAAGACAGCATTAAATGTTAATTGATATTCATGTTCAGAATTGAAATTTAATTCAAATGCATTTATGTCTTTCTATATTGTCTTTTTACTAATGTTTGTGTCTGGGGAGAGATTCACTTATTAGAATGTATAGACATTGGGTGCCATTTATGTGGTTTTTAATTTTGGTGTTGCACTCAAAGCACTTTAAAAGGGCCTTCACAGTCAAACAGTGAACACTCAGCGCTTTTTCAAAAGGGCTGCAATTTGTTTAGCCTGAAAAGGCAAAGCTACACTACACAGAAAACAAAGGCACCATAACAAGTAAGCTCGTAAAAATAAAATTAAAAGTTACACTGAAGCTCAGTGAAGTGTTCAGACCTTCCTCTCCTCCTGGCTTGCACTGTAGCTAGAAAGTCTGTGATGTAATTTTTTTTTTCTTGGGCCTCTTAATATTTTGCTGCCCAGGGCAGCTTTTGAAAGATGAGTTTTTCAAGAGTTATGTTTCTTTTCTAACAGAATGAAGTTCCTGAAGCTAAGAAAGTGGAGTCTTTGCTAGATCTAGACTTTGACCCTTTCAAGCCAGAAGTTGTATCAACAGGAGTTACTCATTCACCCATGTCTCAGGTATTTCTTTGCCTTGAGGTAGGTGAAGTGTATAAATGCAACGTGCTGTTTGGTAGAAAAGATTTGCCTCATGTACCAATGAGCAGTGTATCTGCAGTGTCTGAAAAACTTGATCTTCCTGAGCAGCTCTTGTCAGCCATCTATCTTTCCCCTTCGGAAACTCCGTAGTTGATATACTGGAGGGAGAAGAAATTGTCAGGTGGTAAAATGAGATGTCTGCCAATGAGAATGGTTGCTGGTACCCTGGCCTTGACTTTGGCATGCTGTTATTTTCCATCTTTAGAATAACTCCTACTGCCAACATTATAATTCTCCAGTGCCTGTTTTTCTGACAATTTTTCTGAGCTGGCTTTGATTCTTCATATCTGGAAAGATGCCTCAGGGGACCTAGGTCTCGTGGAGTCAGCATGCAATTGCTTTTCTGTGATGCAGTTTCTGTACCAAGCAGGGAATATGATCTGAGTGGTTTTACTTTTTAAATGTATTTTAGACCTATCTCAAGGAAAATGAGAGGATGGAGTAGGATGTTTCCTTGCAGGATGCTGTGTTAAAGAAATTCGGCATTCTATGGTAATACTTGCATGGTAGTTTCTTGCAGCAATATGAAAAAAAGAGGAAAAGGGAAAAAAAGGCTCATATATCAAGTTGCTGATTTTCATTGACTTGCCATAGGGGACCTGCTATTTTAAGATCCAGAATTCGCTCTCACTACCCATAGTACAGTAGGGAAGTTCTCCTTGCCAGCAGAGCTGGAGCTCTGTGTTGTACACTGAGAAGGAAACAATATTAACACACTGTCAGCAAAATCTTTTGTCCCTGTGGCTATCACTAACCTGGCTTGTACTGTGAGACATGAGAGGACTAATCAGTAGCTCAGGAATGCAATGCTGGGAAAGGAGTGAGAAGACAAGAAGCTTTAAGGCTGAGGTAGTCCTGGTTCTCTGCTGCTGTCTTCCTCAGTTAATTAATTTCTTATTTGGTGTCCAGTCCTAGTTATATAATGAGATCTGTAGTGATCTCTGGGTTATGCACTGTCAGATAAACAGTGTATTGTCAGCACTTTGAACATTAGCTGAAATTTCTCATTGTGGTTTGCTAGGAGGAGTGTTTAATTATAGCAGAGGCTTTGTGTATCTTGTTACTTTTCTTGCTCCCTCTAAACAGGGAAGAAAGGAAATTCCTTGACATTCAGTATGACAGAAGACTCTAGCTGTGACTTTGCCAACGCTACACTTTCAGCTTGTCTTGTAGTAACACTGATTAGAGCAGTGGGATCATTAAACCAAAGAAGTAACTTTTGTGGCAGAGCACATTTGTCCTGACATCATATTGTACAGACTGTAAAAGAGTTTATTACTTCTATGGAAAGGAGTTGGTTTAGATTCAGCTGTACCATGAAATACAGAATATAATTCAGTGTAGAAAAGTACATTGTATTTTTTCATCTGGGTGCATAGAAAGCATTCACTGAGCACCTTCAGTCTCTCCTCTCCTTTCAGCTTTCCTCCTGACATATATATATGAGAAAGGATGGTCCATAGCCATAAGAGCATGTGGATGAGTTGGAGCACCGTGTTTTTAGAAGAAGGGAAGATAGCCCTGCAGTCTGGGTCTCAGTCTCACTGGATGTGGCATGGTCATTGCTGTGGCAGCACGGACAGAATGAAGTCCCTGGTTGCAGTCTTTGAAGAGCCCTGTGCTACTTTGCAGGGATATTAAGAGAGCCTTAAGTGGTCTTTCTGTATGGGTATAGTTTTTGCCTCAGTCACGGATATTTTCCCTTCAGCAAATTGTGCTGAAGTAGTGATGTAAAGACAGGAGTAGTCATCTGTGCCGTGATGCCTCGGGAGGCCTGGCATGACTTCCTTATTGATCATTTAATTAATTACCTCACTTCACTGCTCTGCCAGGGTGATCAGATCACAGTAAGTGAGCCCCAGTCTGCCCTTCCTCACTTGCTTTTCTGTTTCTATGACTGCTTCAGAAGTGGCCTTGCTAACCATGCCTGGCCCTCGCCTCTGCTAGCTGTGGTCTGTCTCACCTTTCCCTCAGTATGTTCCTTCCCCCTCATGCTCAAAGCCTTATCAGCAATGAAAGGAAAATTAAAAAATGAAAAATGAGCAATCTCTCCTTCCATGGAAGTCTGCACCAGTTAGCGCTATAAGAAGAGACCTATCATTTTTCCTTAAAGTTTCAATGTTCAGCTAATAATGTTACAGTGGAGTAAGCAGGTACACTGCTGAATTACATCCACTGAAGAAGCAGGTACCTCGACTTAAACAAAATTAAACTGATTGAGAAATGGCTGTTGATGTTAATTTGCTGTAAATCTGAGTAGTGAGTTATTACTGTATCTTTTGTTTAAGAAAGCAGAAGTTGTTCAGAGAGCCATTCTGTGCTTGTAAAATAAGAATCAGGAAAGAAGCTAAATGCAGCAATCCTTTCTCTTAAGCAAATGTTAGATGCCACACTTAACATTTGCAAGTATTTCAGGAACAGTGTTACATTGTACTTTATGAACGTCTCTAGTTTTTGTTTTTCATGGACTTCATGTGTGAATATAGTAGATATGTTTTGAAACATCACAGACAGCTTTTGAGACCAACCAGCAGAGTTGGTTTCCTCTCGTGTGCGGAGGACTGTTAATATTTGGCACGAAGTCTGCTGCTTTTCTTTCATCTGTCCATTCAGCTCTTCTGCTGAGAGGTCACTAACATTCATTACTTAACAGACTGATCGAGAAAATTAAAACTTTCATCAACTTTCTTGTTTTCTTTCCCAAAAAGTATGCAATTTTCCTTCTTGGTGTCAGAGTTACGAGAAAACCCACTTGTTCTCAGTGGATAGCTGGACCATTTTTTACCTGACTATAAACCTGACCCATGTAAGCTCTTTAAAGCTTACACTTGGCAGAGACTCCTGGTACCCGTGCAAAGTCATTCAGTCACCAGCTCAGAAGCTGGCTATTACTCAAGCACGCAGCACTATGAGTTTGCTGGAAAGCAACAACTGCTTTGAAGTGGGCAATACCACAATCCATCGCATACTGCCCATCCCATGTGACCATAAAGCGTATTATGCAGATATGTACACACACACACGTGCGCACACACACATGTGCTAATATATAAAATAAGTATGTATTATAAATATGCATATAAATAATTTATCTCTTTTTAGTTAATGCACACAGTTAGTAGCATGTTGAACATACAGTATATGAACAGTATTTTTCTAAAGCCTCTTTTTTCCACTCCTTTTTTCAGACATTGCCATGGGATCTATGGACGGTAAGACTGACATTTATCATTGCAAATTGGGATATTTCTGTGCCTCTGATTTTGTTACACTCTAAACTCAGATTTATAATGTTTTTACCAAAAGCTAAGATAAAGAATTTACAGACCGTCACAGACACTTTCAAGTATATGAAGCCACTGGGGATCTTTTAAAACACACAACAACAAAAAAAAAAAAAATCTCTGTTGCTTGGCCTACAAATCCAAAATTATGTCAGAAGTCTAGGCTAATAAGATTCACAATCATTATAGCTAAGTGTGTGTTCCTTTATTCTCATGCCTGAATTATAGCTATTAGAGGGTAGGAATGGATGCTAGTCACCTGTTTTAATTGTCTGAAGGTGTAGTTCCTCAGGACTTTAACCCAGCGGACAACCATTTTCTCAAAATTCAGGAGGGAAGAGAGAATTTAACTTGTCTTTGTGGGCATACAGTGAACTAGAGTTATTCACAAAAGAAGCTGCTACTTTAGGAAACTGCATGCATCCTTCCTTCTTCCTCCTGGTGCCAAATCAGATACAATAATCTGCAGGAAGAAAGCAACTCATTTTTGTGAGTCTTCTCTTGACTTTATGTCATGGAGATAGCTGGGTTGACCAGACATGGAGCCTGATACGCTCGTTTTTGACCTTTTGCAGCTTTAGCCAGGAGAGAAATCTGTGGATGCTTCTCATGCATTCAGATTTGCAGCACTATTTTGTGAACACATGGTGTATGTGATGTATATTAAATGCGCATCTATTTCTATTGGGAAAGGTTAAATAAAGCCTGAAAAAACAGTCATGTGTGTTAGCTAGCCAAAATTTCAAGGCTGCCAATATCTAGACCAGCTAAAATAACCCTGAAATGTTTCAAATTTATTGCTCTAAACTTATATTAGATAGCTTTATCAATGTCTTCCTTTCACAGTTTTATTTATAGCTTGTTAATACTATATATGTATTCTGTATTATAATTATTTTCCTCCTTGCTCTAGGTTAAAAACAAAAAAAAAGAGTAGTGAGCTTCACAGCTAAATGTTTGAAATTAGGGATAGTCAACGTTTTACTGAGTTTATCTTAATAAGTTGAATGCAGACTAGTTGTTGAACTTCCTTGCAGCATGTGTATCTGTTCAAAGTGGCAGTGTAGATAGCAGGCTTTGTGACTTGATGCCTTAGTCTGTGTGGGTGTAAATGCTTCTGCATGGCACAGGGTGATAGAGAATCAGAGCTGCACGCTCAGGGCCCTCTGCACTGCCTGAGTGATGCAGCGATGCCTTAGTGTAAATACAAGTAAGCTCTTCTGCCACTTGGGTTGCTTCCTTCCTTGTTGACCGTCTCACAGAGCAACCCCTCTTGTTGTTTGAGATGTAATAGGGTACCTGTGATAAAAATGTCAGTGGCTTACAGAGGAAAGCAAGGTGTGATGAATATTCAACATACATCTAGAACTTCTTTTATAATGTAGTCCAGACAGAGTCTGGGAAGTGTGGCTTAAATGCAGGGGCCTGTGATTAGTCTTCAATAGAGTGGCAGGAGAGGACCCGCTGCTTCTTCCCCATGCCAATTTGGTAACTGCTGCTGGTTAGAGAACTGCTAATTCAAGAACTGCTGCTGTAACAAAGTACATTGTGTTCTTATTTTCTGTGTTTTATACGTATGATTTTCTTCTATACAGACAAGCAGCGAATTGGTGCAGCCGGTAAGCAAACCTCCCCCCAAAATCACAAACTCTCTAGAGACATGCTTTAATCAGTGTGGTGTAATATATAGTTTTCTGGTTTTGTCTATCGGTGCTGCTATTTTACATTGCAATCTACTGCCTCCAAATGTTGCAAACCACATAACTTTTCCTTAAATGGCTTACTTTAGTCACTTTCATTCTTTAAATTAAAATTGCTCTAGTAAAATATAAATTTTGTGTTTTCTCATCAAGTCCGCCTTTATCTTTTTCATCTTGTGTTTTTTCTTTGCTTTTCTGTCTGCTTAAAGCCTGATTCTTCAAAAAGTCTTTCCCTGTGTAACCTGGTCATGGAGGAAACCCCAAACAGTGGGTCATCAGAAGATATTAACAGATCTCAAACTAATCTAGGTTCACTCAACTGGGGCCTAGATGTTAGCACAGCCAGTGTCAACCAGGAAATTGCTGCAGGCGGTTCTTTGCTTTTCCTTGAGGCAGGGCAAACCTCAAGCAAATCCACGGGTACTCTGCCTGCTAGTGTTTGGCCTGCTGTAGGTGATGCTGCACCAGGGTCAGCTTCTGTAAATGAAAACCAGAGGACTTCACTGGAGGACCAGTTGGATGCCAAAAATGTCCCATGGGAAGAAGTGGTGACCAATCAGTCTTTAGAGAACATAAGCAGTTTTGAGACACCCATCCTGGGAACCGATAGCTTGTTGGATGAACCCCTCCCATGTGATGTGCAAAAGGCAGAGGCAGAGCAGGAGGAAGAAGAGTGGGCAGGTGTCAAACCAAGTGAAAAGGTAGAGACCAGAGCTGTTAACTACAAGGATGGAGAAGGTACAGAGGAACTGGAAGAGCAAGGTTGCGAAACCAAAGGAAACAGTTACACAGAACTTCATAAGGGTTTAGCAAAACCAGATCTTGAAATTTTAGTCAGCACAGACATAGAAAATGTATGTGAATTGGAAGATAATGATGGGGATGCTGGGAGAGCTAGTGGTGCTAACCTAGAAGACCCTAGGGAAGAAGAATTCAAAGGGGTCAATGTCACTGAGGAGGCAGATGGAGAAATACCATTGTTGAGCACAGGGCTGGAAGGTGGGGACAAAATAGTAGTGGACAACTGTAAAACTATAGAAAAGTCTGGCACTGAACCTGAAAGAGTCTTTGGTATCTGGGATCAGGACCATGAAAGGACATGTGAGGATGGCTTAGACCAAACTGACAGTGGTACTGGAGAGAGTACATCCATTAAGTGTATAAACATGGTGGCACATGTTGACCTAGAGGTAACTGACGACACAGAAAAGGACCCTACAAATACTGGAAATGTTTTGTGTGATGCTGAATTACTCAGTGCAGAAGAGTCTGGTAAAGGAACCGAAGACAATAGCATCAGCCTCCTCCCAAATGGTAGTGCTGCTGCAGAAGGTCAAGCTGCTGCAGAAAAAGAGTGGGCATTGCTGCCCGAGACAGCTGATGTTGCTAGCACAAGCTGCAGTAATCCTTGCCTAGATAAGGCAGAAGACCAAGTGACAGGTAGGGCGGCAGCAGCAGTCACTGAAGAGCATCCTAGTAGCAGTGGTGTTCCTGAAGCCTTGGAAACAGACCCCTGGCTGGCAAACTGGGATCCAACAGTTACTAATGATTCCTGGGGGTTTTCTAATCAGTCAGATAGCCAAGCCAATGGACTGGATAATTGGCCCTTTTTCCCCAGGCAGCAAGACTCAGAGGAAGGTAACATGGAAAATGTTTGGTTAGGCATTAGTGATAAATGGTCTACACAAGACCTGGGAGGGCCTGATAACAGCTGGGGAGAACTAGGTGCGAGCACAAGCAATAAAAGTCAGGAGGCACCAGTAAAACAAGGCTGGCCTGGGGAGCAGGCAGGCATTAGCAATCCTGGACCGAGCAAGGAGATAGCTAGACCCTTGGCTCTGTTTCAAATGGGAAATTCCAGAAATGCTAGCACCGAGAGTTCAACTAGTCCTAAAGACAATGAGACCAACAACTCAGATTTATCTGAAGATGAAATTGCTAACCGGAGATATGGATTGTTGTACCAGGAAAATGAGGCTGATAAAGAAGAGGTACCTACCCCAGTGTGTAGCCTAGTCTAGACAAAGAGTTCTGTAGGCCACGCGTAACCTTGTTGTTTAAAACCAATCCATTTGTGTGTTTCCCACTGCCCCTCCTAAGCCTGTGCTATTCTTTTTTTGAAGAATTGCCATGCAACTGTTCATAATGTGGTGCCCTTCAGCCATGTAATGAAGCAGGCTGACAAAAATGCATTTCAAAATGGTGAATGAAGCTTTGAACTGTGAAGGCACGTGTCTCACAGGTTTTGTGTTTTATACATACAGCTTTCAATGGACCGAGTCTCTTTTTTTATTATTTTATAAAAATACTTAAGTTACTCTGCTTTCTTGTTTTGGTTTTGTTGTTTTCTTTAAGCCTGTGACACCTGTTATCAAATAGCACTGTTGTCAAATTTCTTGCTGCCTTACCCTTTTTTTTTTTTTTTTTTTAATGTCTGGCCTACATTTTTATTTTGCAAATAAAAATGTTTTTACTCGTGTTCTGATTCAGTATACAAATGATAATTTGTTCTGATCTTCACTTCTACTTAGGCATCCAGCACAGCATTTAATGGATTTGCACAGGTAAGAAATAAACATGTTCTGAGATTTTTTTTTTTTTTCTGTGCTGTTCGGAAGGGATTAGGACTGGCTGTACAATTTCAGGAAATCTGTTCTACAGACAAGCTGCACAACAATGTCATATTGACTCAAATCCAAACCTTGTCTGTTCTCAGAAATTATTCCTAGATGTTACTAGAATGATGCTAATAGTCTTGCTACTCTTGGCCTGACTCAATTTAATAGCAAAAATCCGACTACCTTAGTGGGACTGATTTTTTCCTCCTAAAAGTATTGGTTTAGCTTTTTTTTGTGCTCTTTTGTGGATTTTTCTCACAATCTCCAAATCCTGTAAAGCGTGCTTTCCTCAGTTTCCAATATTTTCCATGACTCCGTGTGTGTATATGTAAAATGTTTTATTTGTTTCTGCATCTTTATTTTCATTTAAGATATATTTTAATGTGAAAGTTAAACCTAAATTATTTGTTTGCTGCTGTGCTGATGGTGAGGGTCTATGTTAGGCATCGCAGAGATACAGCACATGAAGATACCATGTTTATGCTTTCAAATTCCAGGGCTGTGAAAAGATCCGAAGTTTCAGGTGGATAACCTGGGGCCTCATTTATCTCCAGCATCCTTGTAGAGACTGGCTCATCCACAACACACCCTGTACACCATTTTTTAAAAGCACCCAAAGGGCTGAGCTTATAAAAGGATGGAAATGAGTCTTCCAGTACTTAACCATTCTGCTACAGGATGTTTAAATTAGTAAAGGATCCAGAAGGAAGGGGCAAAGCACAAGTCTACCACCTCTCATAATTAAGGCAAAATGTTTTCCCTGAGGAAATCAAAATTTGATGTCCCCACTGCAGTAGGAAAAGGATTTGGCCCATCAATATTTTGCAGATTAATTGGTTCTGAATGAGTAAGATGTTGGAAAACATCTCTATTTTTGTACCTTCTTAAAGCAGGTAAAATTTTGTATCTGTAATTACTGTAGTTACTATTCAAATAAAAGCCCAGAATCAAGAGGATGTGAAAATAGCTTAGAGCTAGGGTACTCCCTAAGCATGGGCACATGTAGTCCACAGAAAAGATTCTGAGTTTCACAGCTTAGAAGTGCATTGTGCCTGAAACAAAGTCCTTGCAATTCGCATGTATTTAATGAAGGGTTTTTCACTGCCTTTAATAGCATTGCACGGTTTAGAAGCATAGTATATATAATTGAAAAAAGTTTTTTTAATAGTGCTTAACTGATAATTATTATTGATACCTATTTAGATTATCTATTTGTCATCTTATTCTATGTGCATTTACTTATGACTTTACCTGAATAAACCATTAAAAAAATCAGGTCTTCTATAGACACCTGCAAACATCCCATCTCAAATATTTCTGCATCATTGTTTTTCATTTCTATATCTAGGATACCTCTGCATTTACAGTGCAATCAAATGAGAATGTGACAGAGCCTTTGGTAAGTGGTGGCTTTTGCTTCCTTTTTAAATGCTTTGTAAAAAATGGCACCATTTTTCCTTTGTACAAAGATATTTTTTCCTTTTTTGTGTTTTCCGTCCTCTAAATCACAAAACCTTAACCTGGAAGAGTTGGTGGGTGATGTCATTGTAGTTGTAAATCTTTACTCACTGAAACCGTCTTTCACAAGGATAGCACAGAGAAAAAGAAAAGAAAACCAGGATATTCTAAGATGTGTTTACTTTTCAAAGGTGTAGTCAGTTTGTTCATTTATTGCATTTAAAACATGACAAGAATGAGTACTATGGTCCAGTGTACAGTAAGCAGGTGATAATACATGACGCCTATTTAAATATCTCCAGTGTTGTTGTAGTTTTGTCCACTCTCCACGTATTAATAGTAGACACAGTCTACTTCTAAGGGGTGGAGAATCTTTTTGGAAGTATTCATACTTGGGCAGTTTCTTAGTTTCTCGTACAGTTGTTGGTTAGCCTGGAGTAAGGATGTGGAATAGCAGCATTGCTGGGTGAGTGTTATAGCTACTTAATAGCAGCAGACTGGTACTCAGTATTATTTAATGTGACTTTTGTATAATGCCTCTGGTGGTGCTTGTGTTCATAATGGTTACTGAACACAGTGAGAGTATTTTTACTTGTAGCTGAAATGTGGTAACTGGTCTGAAGACTGCTTGTCCACAAGTGACTTGAAGCACATTAATGCAATCTGCATTATAATGTTACCTGTGATTTTAAGGCTGAAAGTTTCTTCCAGCATTAAATCTCAGGAAACTCATTAGTCATCTTACCTGGGATCAATCTACTTTGTGTTTCTCATTTCAGTCCTATTTCTTCTTTGTGAAATTCCCTAGAGCTGGCATTAATACACCACAGAGAAAGATTTCTGCACAGCATGGTATAATATAATGAATGTTTGTTTATGCTATGCCAAATCCTGAAGGTCTTGCTTATGCAGACTTCTCTGTACTTCATTAAAAATCAGTCTGCTTAAGGAATATGTGAGAAAAAAAGTGAGAGGCTATGGCTTTTTTCCTGAAAAATATTATAGAGGGGAAGATTTTAGTATCTTTAAGAATTTCATGGAAGCTGTCTCTTCATCACAAGAGACCTTCTAGCCAGCTGCCTGTTATCAACTGCAAAGCAGCTAAATAGCTTTTGAGCTTCGTATTATGCTGAGCAATTTGTTCATGGCAAATTAATCTACTGGGGTTATTTTATCTGGTTGAGTCAGCCATCTTTATAAATGGAATATGCTGAGCACAGCTTGCAGCCCTCCCCTTGTATGCCTGTGTATTTGCAAAGTGATATCTCCATTGGAGATCGCACTTTTGCTGTGAGCTATTTTGCCACAGCACTCAGCGTGTTGCAGGGCTGGTGATATTTGCTAGATCCTCTTGCTAAAAAACAAGCTTAGGCCAGAATTTAAAAGGGTGGAAATCCCAATAGTGGGTTGACAAATGGGTGCCTTGTAGGTAGGTGATTGAGAGCTCAAGAGGGAATGCATTTCAATAAGAAACCAGGGATGTTTTTCACAGTGGCAGAATTCAAGCAGTCAGTGGTTGCCCTTGTGCATATAAAAAGTGAGTCTCTGCTAATTGTTTCTTATCTTCACTGGAGAAGGGACTATATTGTCTGGGAACAGACAGAACTAGGGAGTAGGACATAATTTAAAAACCTCATATTTGAAGCCCAGGATTGGTATATGCAAGTGCCAATTTCAACTCCTGGCCTTGCCATCAGTTTCTGGAGCATTTCTGAACAGAGTGCCTTCCCCCCACTTCCATCGCCCTTTGCTGTAGCTCAGGAAGCTGATGCTTGCTTTCATTGCGAGGGAGGGATGTAGAGCTGGCTCAGTTTACGTATAGAACATGCAGGATGAAGATGCCCTTTAGGTGCTGTAAGGCCAAGCACTGCTGTCCTCTGTCCGGCAAAGCCTGGCAGAATTGAGCCTGAAGCAGCACTGTGCCAGGCACAGCTCCCATTCCCCTCCTCCCTCCCCACTATCATGTGCTCCCCAACAATTTTTCCACTGTCTACTTAAAAATCAATAAAACAAAAGACTGAGGCCGAAGAAGCTCCACCTGGGGAACCCAAGGTTGAGGAAACCCCTGCGGCTGCTGTTGTGGAAAAGGAGGCTGTCCCTGCTGAGCCCGCTGAACCAGCAGAGCAGGCTGTGGTGAGTGACCTGTCCCCCATGCCACCTCCCGGGCCTCATCTGAGCCACCTTTCGTCATGGTGAATGTGCCTGCTGCATTTCAGCCATCCTTTCCACTCTTCACCATCCATCCATGGCTGGTTTCCCCAGCTGTGTCACAGCATGCCTCTCCAGCACATGTCCTCCTTTCAGTCCTAAAATGTCATTCCTCTTACGTTTGCCATTTTAGACTGAAGTTCAGCTGATTGCGGTTTCACAGGTTGTTTGATTCCAGATGAACTTCAGAAGGGGAAAGAATTGATGCCATTTTTACGTGACCTTATTAGCAGTTTTCAAATCTCGTTTCAAGCTGAGCTGTAAGCACTAAGCCAATGTACATCTTGTGTGGTCCTTGCTAGAGCATGAAAATACCAGAAAAAAGTGATTGTAATATAAACATCTACAAGGCTCATGGTTTTAGAAGTCAGCTGTGAGTGGAAGAGGGAACTCCAAGGGCCAGTTTGGAGATTTTTACATGTCAGCATTCAGGAAACAGTGGGAGAAGTGACAACTCTGCGAGAAGAACAAAGCAGGGCACCCAATATCACTACAAATTAAGAGGTGGTCTGAGATGGTAGGCATGGGGTTTTTCTGCTGACTAGCATCCCTTTTTATAACAGGTATCCTTTTTATCCAGCTGAGGTTCCTCTTCTACATACTGCTGTCAGGAGGTCTTGGAGGTGGGTTATACCCACAGGCTAAGAAACCCTGGAGGAAAAATGCATCTGTTTTTGTAGGCTGACAGTTTTCATGATTTCCTTGAGACAATAACATGTTCAAAGTCTGTAATGAGTGTTTGTCACTGTTAGCATATGCAGATTACTACTGCAAAACTGGACAGAAAAAGGAGTTGTTTTGTGGGTCTGTTCCTCTGTCACAGAGGCCAGTGGAAGCTGTATAGCTGTGCTTTTGGACCATCAAGCATAGTTTGGTGCTGTAAGTGTTCCCAGAAGAACAAGGTTCAGCTTGCTGAACTGCTCTTGGCCTTGGGTGAGTCCCTGTGTATCTTCATCGGTTAAGTAGGGATGATGATACCCAATTCATCATAAAATTGGATGTTTTTCAGTAAGCATTTGATACACTGCCACATCGGAAGCCATACTGAGTAGGCTGATGTAGATGCAAATTAGCTGAAGAAAGTGGAAGTAGCTGGCATCTATAGACGTGGCAGCACAGAGCATGGACAGAAGACTTATCAGATATGCAGCTACCATAGCGTCTCACGGAACTGTCTTTGGAGCTGGTCTTGTTTAATATTTTTATTAATGGCAATGGCTCAGACTCTACAAGCCTGATGGTGCCATTTATTGATGACTCCAGGTTGGGTAGTGTCATCAACTTACGGGGATAGCATTAGGCCCACTAGCTCTACCCCCAAGGACAGGCTGGTTATCTGCTGGCAGTGTTAGACCCATGCAAAAGCCACGGGTGATAATGAGCAAACTGCCTTCAGCAGAAAGAAGGAAGTACGAGTGTTGGTGTGCAAGGCTCTGGAGTACAAATGTAGCTTAATTAAAGACCTTCTTAAAGACGGATTGATGAGTTTGCCTGGGTGGTTCCAGCTGTCTGTACCATGGGATTAAAAAATGGTATCCGGCATGAAAAATACAAAGAGGCAAGTTGAGCTTTAGCTGTAGCACCTGCCTAGTTATCACTCCTTCCTTAATCCCATCTTCCTAAGAGAGAAAAAATAATTTATTGTGGAAGGAAAGGAGGGTAGTGCTGGATGGGCTGTTCCGGAGGACTTCGGGGGAAAGGGAAGGTGACCCCTGTCTCTGTCTAACCCTACCCGTTCTCCATGGACTCTAAGCAGCGTTGTAGCTATGGAGGGAAGCAGTCTTAGTGTGTTCTCCAGAACTATGTTTAGAGTTTAATTCTGATTACAATTCCATGACTTTTGAGTAGTTATTTCATTTTTTTTAAATTCACTTTTTGTTTGGTTCCGTGGTACACACTGAAGCAAATGACTTCAGGATCATCCCCTTATAATAACATAACCAGACTAAGAAAGCTCCATGGTCTGTGGAGACCAGGCTCTTCCCCTCCTGTGTGTCTTCTTTTCAGTTGATATAAATCACAGTAATAACTTGTCAAGTCTATGGTAAGGCAAACAATGAAATTGCCTGTCTGTTCCTTTTGTCAAACTCTTGTCCAGAATGCCTCACGTCTAGTCATAGAGTAAATCAGATAGTTTGGAATAAAGAAGGAGGGAGGGAAGGTGGAGAGAGGAGGGATGGGGAATCAGTCATCGGTCTGGAGCTCTCCTCTTCCCATGACTGAATGGCAGGAAATAATGTGGAAGACCAGATATTAATGAAGCTGAAAAGGTTATTTCTAGATGGTTTTATTTTGATTATCTGTAAGGATTTAATGAAGAAAAAAACTGTAAAAGAAGTTCACCATTTTTCTAAAAGGAAGCCAGCTCTTTTTTGCCTCACACTAAGACAAAGCAACGCTCTGAAGCCTGTTGCACGTCTTCAGCGCTAATTAAATGACAGGCTGTGGCTGCAGCATCACACATCCGCTTGTTGGCTGGCACAACATTTTCAGATTATCTGTTTTGCTGCCTGACTGTCCGTGAAGAATTCTGGGTCTGTGGTCTGTTGGCAGCTGCTCTAGCTGAGGCACAGGACTGCAGAACTGTTGGGAGAAAGGCAGAGAGAAACATAGTGCAAGAGCCAGGCAATTTAAAAGCAATCCAGGAGGAAGACCATAGGCATTAAATAAAGTTAAACAGTTTTGATTAGGTTTGTGCTTGGTTTTTTGTTACTTTTTGAATATGAAGTTGTCCTTGCTAATTTGGGAAAATAAGCTAAAAGCGTTGATTTTAAAAATGTCCAAATTGGAGTCATTCTGCATTTGGCTCTGAGGGGTTGTTATTTCAGGAAGGTCTTTCCAGGACTTACAAAGAAGAGTTCTGAAGATTAGGATTAATGACAAACATGATCAAAGCTAAGGAGAAGTACACTGAGTTGCAAAAAATGAAAACATGCCATTTCTTGACAGCAGTTCTGCATTCATTTGCTTTATGAGTGAGTTTACTTTAAAAGTGAAGTTGTAAAATATTGATAGATACTTTCTTATTTGGTATCTTTTATCAAGTTTAGTAACTTCCAGTCTGGAGTGACAGCCACTAGTCAGTTTAATTTTTCTGTGGTAAGTTGCCTGTCACATCCCATTAATCTAGAAAATTTATGGCATGCATTCTTCACTGTAGGAGCTTCACAGTAAATTTTCTGGTAGGGTTTTCATTTAAATTAGGGAGAAAATGGTCCAGGGGTTGGTGTACCACTTGCTGCTCAGGGAGCTTTGGATTCAGTTACTTGCTGTTTCGTAGTCTGCGTGAACAAGATTGCCAAGACTTCATTACAAGAGCTCATCAGAGGTGCTGCCTGGGATCTCATTACATATTTTTGTCTCAGTCCTTCTGGTCTCAAATGCCATAGAACACATTAGTAGCTGTCAACAGTTGATCCTTTTTGGGGAGGGGATAAAATGTTCGGTAATTAAAGGGACAGAATGACCATGTGCACCAACAGAGGCAAAGTTAACCATGGTAAAAAGTCCTTGCATGGACTTCTGGACACCGGAACAGTTGTTTCCCTATTTCGATAGCATCCCCAAAGGCAGCTGTAAAATCCAAAGGATACAGTCTAAAGGATATAATGCATTAATTGCTGATTTATTTCTCTTTCAAATAATACTATGCCTCTCACCACATCAATTTTTCACATTCAAAGATGACATGAGGACATTATAATAAAGTGAAAGCTTATGAAATCTTGTTATTTCCCTTTCTTCTCCTCCTACATGTGAGGCATAGTGCTTGGAGTTGAGAGCACTGCTCAGAGATCAGCTTTTTGACTTCGTTATGCTCATTAGTTTGGAAAGAGCCTTTCAGTGCTTTGGATCTGATGCCTGTCTGGACTCTGATGTTCTCCCATTAAAGCAGTCAGACATTCAGCTAAATACTGGAGTTTTCAAAGCTGTATGTAAGCATATGTGAAACTACCTCCTGCTAAGCTCTTTGCAGACACTGAGCAAGTACAGCAAAGACCAGGAAACAGCCTGGAGCTTTGAGGGTATCTAATTATGGTTGAATCCCACTGTAGCTACAGTTCATGGTGCCCAAATGGCAGAGCATGTCATTTGGGAGAGCAGTACAATGGTTAGATACAGAATAGCAGTCAACTGTGTACAAATTCTGAGCGTGCAGCTAAGTACAGGTATAAAGTTGGAGCATGAAGCCATTAAAAATATATCTCTCTCATATACGGGAGAGAACTGATGTAGAATATTGTCATACTGTTGAAATCTGCAGAAGCAGATTTTTCTCTGTTTATGGAACCAGGGTGTTGCTTTACTCAGATGTTATTTCAGTCATCCTTTTTACTAGGCTTTCATGCCCTAGGTACAGTTCATGCTACCATGCTGCTCTTCTCAAACCCCACCATCCACAAAAACCCAACTTCCAGCTAATCAAAAAAGCAAAAGCAAAATGCTACTAATTGGACTAGTGCACAATAGTCACATTACCTTTGGGAAGTCCCAAGCTTTGGGAAGCAAGGGGAGCTCTCCTTACTTTCCCCTTTCCCAGCAAAACTGTACTTTCAGTAAGCCTGGAAAACAGTCCTCATTTAAAAATATGTATATGTATATGTTTGATTCTTCTGCAAAGCTGCCCAAAGCTGGGCTGATGGGCTTCTTACCAGAGAATATTTCCAGGTTATTATTAAGAGAAGGGCAGAGGCTGGCGCGTTCCTGGCTACCAACTTGCAGTTGTACATAAAGCTTTTACAGGTAATAGAAGCATTTGTGTACATCTCTTCTGTTAAAAAAAAAAAAAAAGACTTCTGTGGGTGGCTGTGTGCATCTGTGCATTGCTGGAGTAAGAAATAATTATATTTTGCTGTTGATACTTGTTTTTTCTTTTTAAGACCCTCTACAGTCTCCTCAAACTTACTATAAAATTGAGGACTCCATGGCAGAGGCTTGGCAGCTTCCAAAAAAAGAAGAATTAATCATAAAAAAAAAGGTTATATAACACTGTAATTTTAATGGGATAAAGCTGTGAGAGGTTTCTATGGTAACGCCACTGTCAGCAGCTGCCTTGCCCTGGCATCTGGACATGTTTGGGGCTTATGAGGTGACTGCAGGCAATACTAGAAGATTAGATTAGAAAAAACATGAGTGATATGAAGTTTGGATATAACTCAGCATCCTTTTATTAAAAAAGAAACATGCAACCATTTCAGCTGAAACTTGTAGAAATCTTGGAGTGACAGTTGTGGGGGTGTGAAGGCAGTTAGCTGGAGCCTGAGTACTTGAGGTCTCCCAATTTCTGATTGCTAAAGCAGATGGTCCAATCTACTATGCCCTCACATAGGTTTGCATAATATGTCTTCATCCTTACAGCTTTTTTGAAAAATCTGACCTAGCTGTCTTTGCAAAGCAGCCTCAAAATTTATTAGCAAAGTGGATTTCCATAATGGGCCTTTGATTTGCTTTTCCTCAGTGGAGTGTCTTTAGAAATAGCCTGTGTCCACAGGGAGTCAAACCTGAACAGAAAAAAAGCACTTCCAACTGTTCCAAACCAGGCCTGAATTTTAGCGATTTTGACTGTTGACCTTCTGTAGAAAAGGACCTAGTGTTAGATGGCATCTGTGCTGTAAAAAGTACTGTTTGGGGGGAACCCATTACCGTTGAGTGCATTCAATCCCTTGAACACCTAAATGGGTGTCAGATTTGGAAAATCACTGACACATGTCTAATTTTTTAAATGTCAGGCACCTGCTGCATGTACCACTGAATATGGACCTAGAGAAAGGTGATTCTGCAAAAAAATGATGAACTTTGTGACCCACCTCTTTTGAACAGCCCCTTTAAATGAGTTGCAGTCCAACATGAGTGGAAGAAGTAAGTGTTTTAGAAAGTTTACCTTGAAATGCTGGTGAGTTGCAGGGGCAGCAGCAGGTTGTAATGGGAACAGTTTGAGTCTTGGGTGGGAGAAATTTGAGCTTGCTGGAAACTGCAAGGTCAACAGTGTTGTGGGTTGTTGCTTACTAAAAAATTCTTCAAAGCTGGTGCTGTTATGAGAATACTGATAATAAAAGTAAATAAAATTGTCCTTAGCACTTACAGTGTGATGATGATGACATATGTAAAAGGTTTTATTCGTTGTTTTTTAGCCTGTAACTACTTTTATTTCAGATTGTATGTGGCAGCAAGAATCCTTCTGCTTGCTATATACTACCCCATTTAGTTCCAGCCATTCATTTCATTGCATCCCATACATGCCATGCTTCCATTAAGCTTGATTAATACCAATTTCTCTGCAGCCATTGCCTCAGCATGAGTAAGGTGATGACCATATTTCCTCTTTATACAGGACAGTGTCGAGGCAGGGGATAAGGAGACAACTGGAGTTGCTGAGAAAGAAAGCGAGGTACATATGAACAGCCTCAAGAGTGTGGTTGTGCTTTAATATCTTCAAGAGAGTCGTGGCAAAAAATATATTTGTCATTTGCATGTCGTCAAAATGCAGGCCAATACGATGCAACTGTGACCTAGCTGCGGTATCTATTCTAACACTGCGCAGATATATCTATATTTGCGGTATATATTGTAATACCAGAGCACCTCTCATTCAATGCAGGACCTGCCTTAGAAACTGCCTGTTGCAGCCGTATAGTGTGATAAATATCTCAGGGCAGCAAACAAAGCAGCTCCGTGGTAGAAGGAGGTATAATACTGTTTCCATTGACATTTGGAAATGTGTTGCTTAGATTCCCAGTAGCTTTTACACTTCCCATAAATTTGTTTGCCTAGCCTTCCTGCAAGCATCTTTATAAAAAGAAAAAAACTTTGATTAATCATGTATTTTTCCTAGCATAATATGCCCTGAACTAAAACAGATATTTGAAAATAATCGTGTTATGAGTTTGTTTGCTAAAGCACAAATCCGGCATCAAGTTAGATACAGTTAAAATCAAATTACAAAGCAACTGAAAAGCTCAATGACATACTTTAAGCTGTGCATGTGTGGACTCAAATGATTGTATTTTGCTTATATTTCTTCAGAGGCGGTAAAACTACTTACCCTGAATCCTTCTATACCAAAGTGAAACTGTAATGAGTTCAAACGTGCACAGAGAGCAGCACAAGAGGAATGGCTACATATTGAATGCAGGGATAGAAGTAGGGACTAAGAAAGAGATTGTAACTCCTACTTATTAATCACTTAGGATTTGTATCTGACAATGTCCCTTGTTGTTCTTACTCATTTTGGTGCCACAATGTATACAAAAAGATCATGACCTGGTCTCCATTCACTTTGGTTTCAGAACATGGTAAGTCCAGCTGTCCAAGCTTGGGTTTGTTACCCTGCTGTAAAACAGCATTAGCTCTGCTAGAGTCAAAGATGTATCTGTGGCTCCAAGGGTATCCCAGTGTCACTGGGAAGTGAGTTTGGCAGTCACCGGTGCCGTGCTTCTCACCAGTGCTGCCACATCCGTGTAAAAATCAAGGGATTACACTAGCAAGAAATTACAGGATGGGAGTGGTAGATCAAGCCCAGCTTGGTGTTGACACAGTGCAAGAGAGTGTTGCGTGGCTTCTCTAGCGTTGGCTTGTCACTCCCAAGTCTGGTCCAAGAAGAAACACGCAAGAAATTCCTCACTGTCCTGTGAGCATCAAGGCTAATTCTTTGAAGTCTTTCTCCTTTTTCCTAATACCACTTGTCCTTATAAAGCTGAGGTCTTTTATCTGGTGAGTTTGACCCTGTGTTCTATTTAAAATAGCAGTATTACTGTATGCAGAAGAGCTGCCATAAGAGATCAAGCTATTTGCTAAGCTGATACCTGGCCTTCTGTGGAGGGTGGTCCCTTTGATACTGTAATGTGCATAACAAATTTTTCAGTACTACCCGAAAGGTCTTCCAAGACTTTGCAAGCAATTGATGTATTCCGTAAAGCATGATGATTAGTTCCTCTTGATGTTATGTTAGCTAGCTTAGCTGCCATTATAACCATCATAAAAATTACCCAGTCCCTTTCTAAATCCAGCCATGGGGCGAGATCTTCACCTCTGGAAAGCCGGCATAGCTCAGGGAGCTCCTCTGGCGGCAGGCTCAGTACCCCTCCTTCTCCTCTCCCTGGGCTGCTTCTTCCCGCTGCTGAATCTGTGGCATTGTGTTGAGCTGACAGCAGTGTTAATGAGAGGAGGGTGCATCTCTATGAATCAGCTGATCCTAGGTAAAGAAGCATTCACTTCTGCTGCAATTAAAAGTCAAGTGGTTCTTCTATCACAGCCCTTGTTATACTGGATGACCCTTTCTTTGTCCCCTGTGTGGTTGCTATAGTGGGACAACTGTCCAAATTTCAATAATACTGCTAGAGATAGCTAATTGGGAATACTATTAAGACTGCCTAATATTATTGATGACCTATGGAAAAGAGGTTTGTAGGATTGGTTTTCAATATGAAGTAAGGTAACACAGGTAACTGTATCTGCGAGTATGTGGTTCGCTGTAGCTGGGTATGAATTCAGTGAGACGAGCCTCCGTCTTTTTTTTTTTTTTTCTGTACTAATCAAATATATTTGAGGCTGATAGTGAGGTTCATTCTGTGCTACCTCACGTGCGTTTTTGTAAAAGCTTTTTTTAATCATCTAGCTTGCATTGGTTTTGTACTCTAAGGCACAAGAACAAATGGTTACGCAGTTGTGAGCTGTGGTATACATTCAGTGAGTCATGGCTACAGGCTGTGAGAGGGTCACCCTTTCAGAGCAGGGCATTTGAGAGCTGATTCATGTAAATTAGTATTCTCCTCCTTAGTGAAATAAAATGGGCTATACAAATCCAATAAATAGAAAAGAACTGTTGATCCTAATCACAACAGACAGCAAGATCAATTTCTGCAGCATGCTGTTAGAAGCACATGGTATAAAATCAATCCAATATGCACTCTGTTCCCCCTTTTTACTAGCCTCTTCCAGGGCTTTTACACTCAGAATTTATTTGAATATCTTCTTGCATCAAGGCAGCTAAAATTGGTAATACTATGAGTGGCAGGCTTGCATGTTTTACAAGTCACAGGAGAAGATGTCAACATCTGCCCATGTCTTTTGATGTTACTTCGTTTTACGATAGGGCATCCTTTGTAAGCAGCATTTTCAATTTAAACTAAAGCTTCTCCAGTGATTTCTACAAAACCCTATACTATTTTCTGCCTTCAAGGACTCCAGAAGAATTTCTTTATCACATCAATTAACAGCAGCAAATAGGAGTGGTGCTGAATATTAGATATTGCTAAAAAACAATGCCTGAAAAGTACCCATGAACAATTGCAGGTAGTTCAAGTTGAGTTCAGGTAGATGAGTCAGCCTCATCTGTGGAGGAAAATCAAACTGAGGAAACAAAGAGTATCAGGCTGTTAACTGGAGATAAGAGATATTTCTGCTAACTGTAGCTTGACATTGGTACATAGAAAACAATTTTTCTTCCTGGTGCTATCTGCTGTACGTTAAAAATGCCATATTGAAATTAATTGGATTAGCAGAATGAGTTTTGTCATTTACCTTCCACCCTTCAACCCTTAAGATTAATCCACTGTAAGTATATATCCAATATGCTACTGTAAGCATATATCAGTATATACCAATACAAAAATTAGGGTGATACATAGATTACAGCAACAGTCTCTGCTGGATGAAGGATTCAACACTGATCTATAGGCAGGTACTTTTCTATCCACCTTTCCAGGACTGGAACAAAACATATTAACTTTTCAACATGGACTGATTACAAATGGTTTAGTCATATCCAGACTGAATGGGCTTTTATGTATGTTTCTTTTTTTTATACTGACCTAGCTACAGATCTTTACATTTATATTTTTTTCTGATATCTGATGGTATCTGAAGATTTCTGATCTTTACCCAGCTGTAGAATATATTTGCTTGCTGATATAGCCCGATTTGCAAGTCTCTCTATTAGAAAGGAGTGTGTAATTAAGGCAATATTTTTGAAGCCAGCCCAGGTCTAGAGGTAGGTGACAGTAGCTATAGAACGTTTGGAGCCTCTTCCCAAGAACAGACTTCACTAGCAGGGTCCTGTGGACCCCTTGCAAGCTCCTTCTCCTCAGCAGAAACCTGTGGTGAATTTCTTCCATGATACAGCTTGAAGGCAAGAGAAGGAAAAAATACTAGAGCCTTGGCAAACTGTTACTCCACTGGTAACACCCAAGGACTCTGCTAAATGTGCCTAGTGAAGTTTGGTAAATGTCTCTCTCCCACCTGCTAATCATCTCCACTGTGCAAGCTTACCCCTACGCTCCCTGCGTGGTGCATTGGGGCAGGACGGCAGCCTCCAGTGCTGCTCCCATCCACAAATCAGGAGAAACCCCAGTGAAACCAAGGCCATGGGTTGGCATGACCCAGGGAGGTCGCAGAACAGAGGCTGGTCCATGGTGTCTCCAGCAGATATCCAGAACTCATGTCCTGAAAGGTCCTTCCCTTCTGTTGTTTGTAGGGGGTACCTGCCACCGAGGGGACTGCGGCAGCAGAAGACGGTGCGGCTGTGACAGCAGGAGCTGGTGACAGCGCTGGTACCACTGAGCAGGAGAGTGTTGCTGAAGGTGACAAAGCTCAGGGAGAAGAAAAGGAGGCTGATGTGTCTCAGGTAACTCATGTCGGTGCACGGGAGAGTGTGTTAGGGGAATTGGGACATATCCAGCAGCCCGAGAGAGGCGAGGCTGCTGCAGCTCTGTGCCCCCAGCTCCAACCAGTAGCAAGGGTGAGGCTCTCCTGGGAAAGGCCCACACAGGATGTCCTTTCTTCAGAGTCCTTAATTTGGGTTGTGCCTGTCTCTCTGCCCCTGTGTTCCCCTGTGCTTGAGGAGACAGGACTTGATGGGCTGATGGCTTGTGTGATGGGCGTGGGAGCAGCATGGGCAGGGTATTGTTTGGGCTTCCCCTCCTGCTGTTGTCTCTCTGTGCTGCCCTGTGGACATGAGCTTTATCACATAACCTAACAGGGCTTTCTGGAGAAATAGGCAGAGAAAGTAATGGATTTTTCTTGTCTCCTGGCACAATGTCCTATCAATAGCATTACTTTGTTTTATTAAGTCACTGTGGTCAAGCTATGTATCTGCATCTGGCCTGCTGCCTTTTCTTCTGCGACCTCTGAGGAGCTGGGGAACTGCTGCTAGAGCAGACCCTGCAGCTGGGCAGCCCGTTGCCACCTCCTGTCATTGCATGTTGTATTTCTTCTGTGCGCTAGAACAGGATGGTCTGGCAGAGGATCGGTGAACATGTTCTTTTCTGGTTGGATGCTCCAAGTTTCATTAAATGCTTTTTGTCCTAGGTTTCATTATTGGTCAGATGCTACCTACTTAGTCTTTTTGCTTTCTCTGCTCCCAGTTACATTACTGTAAATCAAGAGAAATCCCCTCAATCAGTCAAAGAAATAGGTCATGTTTCCTTCTTTCATCACTTTTATATCATTATTATCCTGCTGACTTGAATTCCCAAAGAAATATAGGACAGTGACTCCTGGAACTTGTGGCTTTACCCAAACCCACCCAAAGTTAAGAGCAGTGTGGAGGAGAAAGGTCTGTTAATTTTCATGCACATTGAAAATGAAACCCAAACTACCTGCAGAGCATTCTTATTATTTACTGCAATAATTTGTGGTAATATAGAAAGTAGACTTAGGAGGACTAAGGAGAACAACAAAAACAGGGAAGTGATTACTCCTTTACATTCTTGCACAAGTACTGTTTTCTGTCTTAATGTAAGAATCCACTGTGGAGAAGAAAGAAATCCCCATTCCCATATTTGCCCTGTGCAATAAAGAAGCAATTGTGTTTTCCTGCTTGAAATAAAGTACTAAATACTCTTACAGTGCTTTTGTGGTTTGTTTTTTTTTTCCCCCAGGAAAAGGTCAGCAGCATCCCCTCAGTAGTAATAGAGCCAGCATCAAACAATGAGGGGGAGGGAGAAGAACACGAAGTCGTCATGAATGAATCCAAAGATGCTGCAGCAGAGATGGGCATTCAGGGCACTGACACTTATCCCAGTGAAACTTTGCAAGTTGGAAGTGAGCAGAAACCCCCTGAAGAAATGCAGGCTGCACCTTCTCAAGATCAGCCTGTTTCAGCAGAAGACACAGCTTCTGCGATGCCACCTGGCTTTCTCTTTAAGGTCTGCTTCTTCATTCTTCTTTCAGACATACCTTCAGATCTAGCTTCTGTGGATGTGTCTGTTTGCGCAGGCAGTGTAATGATTTCTTGAGGCCAAAGGACGCTTAGTTTAACAGCCAGACATATGCACACACATACACACACAAACAGAACTTTGACATTGTGTTGTTGCTTCATACATGAAGTCTGAGAAGATACATTTTCTGCACACCACTGTTGCTGTGCATATCCTTACGTAGCTGTAAGACTCACTGAAGTACGAGAACCCTTTCATCTCAGCAAATTACTGCTGCCAATGAATATATTGAGTAAAACTGCACTGCCGCAGAGTTAGTCAGCAATATTGTATGATATATGCTAACTATATCTGATATACTAACAATACGTTTGATCTTTAAGGTCCCTTCCAACCCAAACCATTCTATGTTTCTGTCATTCTATGAATATTAAAACCCAGCATTTTTCTGGCCTGAAAATCTGTAGTGGAAGTTTTGGTTCTATTGAAACCCATGGGACTTCTACAGTTTACGGTAACGAAGCTAAAATGTCATTCTGTGACTTTAGTAATATTATAGTTATAAACTGTTAGGGTAACCAAACAGAAAAGTTTAATGAGGTATAGCAGAAATTCTCTCTTTGGCTGGCAAGACCCATAGGGTTTCCTGGTTCACAAGATTCTTTGATAATGCTTCTCACTTCAGAATCACTGAGCAGCAGAAAACCTTGAGGATGATGAACTTTACATGCTTCCTATTATAATTTGCATAGTTCAGACTAATTAGTCCCATAGCACTCCATAAGTATGCCATTCTTCTTGGTCTATTCTCATTGCTCAATATTTTCAGCAAATTTTGAGAAGAACATTAAGAGGGGTGGTGAACAGTATCATGCAACTCTGACTCAGACATGCTGACATAGTTCATCTTTTGTTTTTCATCACACTCTCTTGGGTCAGACATAAATAAGGAGAAGCAGAATATTTGTCTGCCATCTGTTTCTTGATGCTGTTTTCTTATCGAAGAGTTACCATGGAACTGGCTGTGCTTTGAGAAAATTAGAATAGCATATCTCTTAAGGAGGTAGAACCATTTAGTTAAAATGGTCTGTTCACAATGGCATGCTGATCCTGCCAATGGTTTAGTAATCACCCCTTTGAAAGACACATACTTTTGGCATGCCAATCTGCCAGTAAATGGGGGGCTCTTTCCAGGGCAAACATAAAGTAGGGTTACCATTACTCGCCTCCTTGATCGCCTGTTGAAACTGGTGCTGTATGTCCCACTCAAATTTCCATGGATATTTACTGCAAGAATAATACCCAGTGGCCACGACAGGAGAATGAGTGAGAGTCTGAAATACCAGTTCCTGGGAGTCTTTCCCAAGTTTATTTGCAAAATTCTGCCATCCCTCTCTCAGAACTAGTAATGATGGTGGGGAATGAAAGCAAATTCTTCACACAGAAGAAATAAGGGTGGTAGGACTTGTCTGAGAGCCAGGACTTGTGCGGTGTTGCAGTATCACCTGTCCTTGAGATCCTTTAATCTTGGGAAAGGATCTTAGGTTTCCTTCAGTAGTTTCAGGAAGACTTACTTAAGCTGTCCCTGCTTCCAAGGATATGGACAGAAAACATTGACATGAATCAATGTCAACATTAACGATTTGAATGTACCTACCTACAGCCATGTGTTTGCATAAAGAAAGGCACATTATTCTTTTTTTTTTGCAATAAAGGTTTAACAGAGAGTTTTGTTCAGAAAATGTCTCCATTTAGATCATGTCTATATGTTTGGTGTTATTTTCTTCAGGTTGAAGTTCTACACGATTTCGAGGCAGCTAACAGTGATGAGCTTAATTTAAAACGAGGAGATATTGTACTAGTAATTCCTTCTGAGACCACAGCTGATCAGGTAAAAACATGTGGTTCTTTCTTTTGTTGACATTTTTCTTTGTTACATTTTATTTCTCACAGATTATAGTTAATGGGAAATGTGTATTCAAAATGTCCTTACTGTTAGAAAATATGAAGATTCTAATTTTATCTTTGTACTACTTGGTTCCATTTGAGACTAAATGGCACAGTTGGCTACAGCTGAAGTCCTGGATATACGCTACTAACAGGATCTGCCCTCAGCATATTTTCTAGGGCTTTTTTTATGCTACTTTGTAGTGGATTTTATACAGGCATACATGCACACAAAGACAATATGGAAAATTAATTACAAATTGTTCATTATGTTGCTATATATCATCTTGTCTTAACATTGCAGCAGAACTAGGTGTTCAGAGCTTTTACATGTGGATTTGGAGAAATAATACAAATTCACCCACAGAGAGCACTGAGACTGCACACAAATTGTGGTGTCCTACAGCTGCTGTGTGTGCTGCATGCCTCTAAAACTAACTCTGCCCTCTGGAATCCTGAACCTGAATTAAACAAAGGTTTAATTTCATCTAAGACATCTAATTTTGTTTTAACTAATGCATTTCACGTGAATTTTTAAACAATTTTATTCGATGTGTTAAATTGATTTGCACTGAGGTGAATTGATTTTTGGCCACTGCTTTGAAAGGGAAGACCATCCTGTACACTGTTAGCACCAGCCGCTTCATGGGCATCTGTTAGTGCCCGTAGTGTTGGTGAAAAGTCTTCAGTTGATTTGTGGGTTGAGGGGTGGGGGACTGGAACCTGCCTAGTGAGGTAGCTAAGAGCAGTGCTCTGAATGAAGAATATTTCTTAAAATAAGTCTAAATACTAACGCCCTAAGCACATATGAGTGCTGGGGACTGTATTTGAAATTGTTTCGGAGGTTGATGTTGTCCAAAGGTAGGTAATAACAGTATTCGTCATCTCAGCTGAGCTTTCTTTTAATACAGGAGACAAGTAACTGGTTTGGGTTTTTTTTTTGGGAGGGGGGGAGGAGGGTTAATTTCAGAATACAAAATTTTTCTTTCAGCAGGGCACTTTGACCTTTTTATAGGGATAGATTCTGTTATCCTTACTCAAATTATGCTGCATCTTACCTCATGGGCAGTTCAACTGATTTCATTATCAGTATTTGCAGAATAGGACACTGGTGTAAGGATAGCAAAATCTGCTCTCTGTCTTCAGTCTGTTTTTCTTAGGATGTTATGTATTAAATATGTTTAATCTTCACTTGGTGAATCCATGAAGTATATTCTTCTCTTGTGGTGGTAATCGAAATTCCATTAGCATTAATTGGAGTAAATTGTGTGCAATGATGGAGAAAATAAATCTTTATGTATTCATGTTTCTGAAACCATTCTGGTCATATCTTTATTACTCAGTACATATTTGCCCTTCATGTTTAACATCACCATAAAGCTTAATCTTTTTGTCTTTTGCCAGGTACTTTGTTGATTTATATAGTCTTTTTATCTTTGTTATTCTTTATTCTCCTTCAAAATTGACCTGTCTAAAACCATAATTCTAATATAGCTGGTAACATCAGCCCGTGTTCCCCATTTAAAGCAAACTAGTCCCACCCAGGGGCTTCAATTTTTCCATTAGCCATGAGCAGAACTTATTATCCAGTAAAACTGTTAATTCCTTCATACAATCTGTTCTGCCTGTGCTAGAAAGCTGTAGTTCCTCTCTCCTTTCTCTCAGGTATTCCACATGCTTCAAAAATGTGTCCCCAGTTACATGTACCCGGCCAATGCCATACATAAGCTGTATCTGCTTTAATGATGCTTATTTTGGGGCAGAGAGCCAGTGCACCACCACATGCAGCCACTGAGCAATCATGGCTTGGTGTTGCGTGTGAAGATCCATTCATATGACTCTTATCTCCTTGTGTAGTCTCTGTGCAATAATAATATGGCAGCATTAGAAATTCCTTGTTCACCATGGCTTTGCTCTGGCTCCTGTTCTTAAAAGGAACAAAGCACAGAGTTAGTGTGATGAGAACAGGTTGATGATTTTAAAAAAAATACTGAATTGATTTTATTCCACGTATAATTGATAACACTTAAGAGAACCCAGCACTTTCCAATAAGAAGTCTCTCTTTCAATTGCTTCGGCTGTGGGTTTGGTTTGCAATTTTGCATGTCAAATTCTGGTTTAGGCTTCCAGGAATTTTTTGAAAAATAGTTGAATATCAACGAAGTTTGAGTTTCTAGAGACAGTAACTCCAGAGGATGCAAGAACTGTTATTTCTTTTGACTGATGATACATGAATGAGACAAAAGAACTCTCAGGAAAAAAAAATTCAGATTAAAAACTATTTTTTCCCCCATCTGTGGTATTGTGTAATGTTTCTGGCCCACTGCTATGCTCTTACTGCACAAGTGCACCAATATTATTTTGGGAACTTTGAAAAAGTTTCAACAGAGATTTGCACAAATGCAGATCTGGTATAATACTGGATGACCTGGAAGACTGATTATCCAGTTTTGAGTTCAGCAAGAGGTTAGATGGGCTAAAGGCCGTACAATATGCTCACAGTCATGCAGTCTCACAAAACTGTGATCTGGCAGAACAAAGAAAACAGTCTATGCAAAACCAGAGGCTGCTTTTTAACCAAAGCACCAAATCTTTTAGCCATGTGACTCTGAAATGTCTTCAGGTCTGAATCTCATAGCAAGGAACAGGGGAGACCTGAAGTTTAAGAGACTATGTCTTTTTCCTTGCAGGAGGCTGGCTGGTTGACAGGCATTAAGGAATCCGAGTGGCTTCAGTACAGAGATGCAAATAGTTACAAAGGACTTTTCCCAGAGAACTTCACACGCCATCTGGAGTAGTTCTCCGCTCAGGCAGACAAACGTGGTACTAAGCTCAGTCAGTAGGTTTTTAACCTCTTTGAAACACAGAAGCCCACCTTTTTGTAGTTTAAGCTGTTAATGGTTTACAGACTGGTGCCAGACAAAGCTTGTTGAAACATATCAAAATGAGCATGAATGCAAACAGTTAAGCTAGCAATTTCTGAAGCAGTACATGAAAAAAAAATCAAATAAAAAAGAAATGTCCTTATTTGTTCACATGTACGTGGCAACAGGTTTGTTTGTGCTTTGTCAGAGCTATGGTGATCCTGTATTTGGTCCTTTCCCATGAGATCTGAAATTAGCCTCCTCAATACCAAAACCTTAACTTCTCTGCACTAAGTGTATTGTATTGAGTTGCACTGCAGAAGATTTAATTAGTTATCCTGTAGTATGAGATCAAACTATTATAAGTTTCATGTGTTTAAAAAAATACTTAACTGCTGCAACGTTTTTCAATGTTATTTTTGGACATGCATAATATATATACACACAAGAACTTATATGTGTATATATAAGTGCATATGGATATATATGCATTTTCACAACTTCATCGTAGTTCTTTGACTGTGTAGTATCATCAGCACATGCATTGCTCTTTCACTGTCTGGCATTACAGGAAATGGTTTTGTTCCAAAGCAAAACTAGCTGCTCCATTGCCAAAACATGATACAGTATCTGTGTTTGTAATGTGAAATTTTCATTCTGAGATGATGAATACCATCATGTTCAAAGCTGCTAAACCTTTGAGAAGGCATGGCTCGGTCTCCCCTCCCAGCTGCAGTAGTTATAATGAGATAATCTGGAGGGGGAGCTGTTATGATGCTAATCTATACTTTTTTATTTAATTGGCTGAATAAATTAAAAAAAAAAAATAGAACTAATCTCAGAGAAGAAATAAACACAATATATTTTCACTATATGTATTTATGCAGCGTACCTTCACAGATCCTTTTAAAATAAGATATATAATGTATCCTGTATCAAAAAGTCATCTGTAACTTATGTTTTCCAGTGCTGTGTCATTAAAAATAAACCTTTGATCCAGAGAAGCTGTTTCATCTGTGGTGCTTTTGAAGTTTTGTGACACTGACGTTCATATAGTTTATATGTTGTATTAGAGAATCCGATCTTAATTTAGTACGTCTTTTTCCAAAGAAACATAGCATAACAGGTACACCATCTAAATCCTTGCTCTCAACCCTAGTCATGGCTAGAGCTCCAAGAGGTGTGAACCCCAGCTCAGCACATCTCCTAGCTGCTCCTCCTGTTCCAGACTCTGACTGCCAGCTAATACCTGCCTGCAAGTACCAAGGGAGCTTGTCTGTGCTTGACCATCACTCAGTTGAAGATTGCTACCTCTTAGTAATTTTTTGCTTGTCCATGTATTTTGTGTGGAAAGAAAGTTCTCCGTGAATCTGTCTATTGTGTTTGCTGATGCATGGAAGCTGCAAATATTTAGGAACATCTATATTTTCCTACCAATTCAGTTATTTTTCATGATATTTTGTTTGGGGGATTGTTTTGTGTGCACACAGTATCTGTTTCCACTTCAATTTGTCAGATTTCAGTTGAAGAAGGAGATTTTTTGTTGCTCTGGAAGAGGAGGAAAGTTGGTTTCTCTCTGTTTTTCAGAATACAGTAGCTTTCAAAAGCAAGTCTAATCATAGCTGTGTTTTGTGAAGAAGCTGAATGGCTCAACTGTGACAGCTGGGATTTTGGCTTTGAAATGTCACAATGAGCAATCAGAGTCTAAGGAGCCTGCGGGAAAACTCTTTCGTTTTCTATTCATTCTTTTAACAGGTTTGGCAGTCAGTAGTGATACAGGGCCAAGAATCTCACCAGGGAAACAACTTTCCTTTGGTTTTGGTGTGTTAAAATAAATTCCAGACTCCAATGCACCACTTTGAGGTGGTCATAATAACCTATTACACCCGATTTATGGTGATACGCTGATGACCTCCAGGCCAGTTTCCTGCTTAACTACATCTCAACACTTGCATTTCAGTAATAGCTGCTCTACAGATCACTGCAACAGACCAGCACTGGATGATGGAGCCTCAGTTTCCCTGTGGACGCCATTTGCCAGTTCTTTCACTAGGGCCTACAATCAAGTGAGACCGTCATGCGTGACAGCTGTAACACTAAGGAAGCAGAGGACACTATGATCAGCCCAAAGCATTTCTTTACCCAGTGCTGATTGTGTGCAGTTACCATTATGCCCTCTTGCTGCTAGAAGTACCCAAGCCAAAGTCAACACCCTTGGCCTTGATTTTTCTAATGTCCTTGGTACAGGCCTATGTGCCAAATCCACAGGTAAGGGGTTTGTAGCACACTTGAGGTTGTATGTAGATAGGAAGAGTCTCTGGTTTACAGCAAAGAGCTTTCACGGTTTCTTCTGAGATACTCTTCAGAAATACTGCTTGACTCTACTCTTCATTTCTTAATTCCACCTCAGTATAAAGAAAAATGTCATTTCAAAAACCATCAGGTGTCCACATCTCACTGCAAGGACTGTCATTATTTGCTGGCAATAAGATGTACTGATAATGCCCCAAAAGCTATGCTATTGCACATGATGCCTGTGTCATTTAAGCCCTGCAGTTTACTGTGGATACGCCATACCGGTCTGACATTAACTATGTCTTCATATCTCACACATGCACCCCAGAGACACAAAGCTGATAGATGTCTTGCAGGAAGAATGAGGACAATTATTAATGTTACATCTTTAAAATTCCTTGCAAAATTTCATATACTAAGATGATAGCTACTAAAGGAAGGACATTGATAGGTTAGCCAGAATGATAATTTTCATAATTTTCCCTTCTAACAGAAGGAGTTTATGAATATAAATGTATTTGTCATTTTGGGTTAACAACTGTTTCTCATATTTGATTTCTTCATACTCTAGTTCCATTAGACAATCAGACTTATCAGACACTTCCATGTCTGCAGCTCCTGAAATGAATAGTATAAAGTAAGTGTATGTCTCTGTGATAGATAGAAGCTTATTCTAGGTAAGCCAGGGAAATTCTTTCCAGCATGTACTGCTGTTACATACCAGTGTATGTACCCTCCCCTCTGGAGTTATATTGGCACAGAATTATTTCATACTTTTCTTGGATTTTTCTGATTAACGCACTACATTGGACTTGGCAAATTACTGAATTTCATGCTTTCAGAGTGATTGTAAAGCAATAACCCATTGTGTCTTGGTTTCTCTTAAGACTTATTTATGCCTAAGATGGCACATGCTACTAACCTTCTACAGCAGCTCTAATTTCTAATTCTACATTAAATAAACCCTTGAAAGATTTAGGGACCCAATCTCCTGATTCCATAGGCTGATTATGCACGGGGTGGCCTTGGAAGTAAGACAAAATAACTGAAGGTGGAGGAACATCTCATGTGAGTGAACTAATAAATTGTGTATTTGCAGCTCATCTATCTAGTTTATAACCTTTAATGAATAATGAAAAATGTATAAGCTGAATGACACTTCTGTCCCTTTTCTCCTCCTCTTCCTCCTCTCCCCACCTTGTTCCACCTCTTCCAGACCTCACAGCTGGGTACATCTGTCCCTGCCACAAGAAGAGGGAGGGGAGGCTCTGCAGATTGCATGGCATTTGATTTCAGGATGCCCTGATGACCTAATGCCAGAAAGACGTGAAGTAAATCATAGTCTCATTAAGCTCATGCCTAATGAAAATTTTTTAGTGTCTTGCTGACACAGGGAAAAATGCATCAAAAGAAAGTCACCGTGATGGGTATGTTGGATGGGGTTGGGAAAGAGCAGTCACTGGCTGTAGGAACAGTTTACAAGGCTGGCCCCTCTTGCACACTCATGTGCAGGCAGAGCATGAGTGTGTATTAGAGCTGTAGCAGCTAGAAGTACCACAGTAGCCTCCAGAACACCACAGTTTGCTGCTTGAAGGACAAAATCAGGCTTTATTGTTAGTTTTTAAAACATTTTAAAAATCTATCTTTTTGTATTTAAAACGCTAAGGTGACAGTTGATGAAACACCACCTTATAAGCCAATCCCCTGCTACAGAAACTAGTTAGTTCAATTAATTAAGCGAGGTCGCATTTCTGAAAGCAGCTCAGAAGAGCATGAAGGTGTTTCTCCAGCCAGCTGTCATCAGCAGTGTGACTGTTGGCTCTGATGTGCTCTCTGGTGGCGAGATATTTGCTGCAGATGAGGGGGCTGCAGTGGACTCGGTGCAAGAGAGTCGGTGAGGCTATGTGGCAGCCATGTTGCTTCTGTTTTAAACTCCAGCTCTTTCTAGAAAAAGAAATCCTGTTTAATTAGGAAGAGGAATTTTAGGAAATGGCACGTTCTCAGTCCAGATTCAGAATTAGAGACTATGAAGTGGGCTGTGGTTTTGGACTCAACGTCTCTCTAAATGTATTGACGTATAGATGTATGAAGAGATAGTAACTTTTCAAAGATTCCTCTCTTACTCTTCACCCGTGTGTTTTCAGCTCTGATGCTATCTATGTGTGTACTGTGCCTCCGGCAGCATTTTAAATATGTCTGTGTTTCTCTTGCATGGACATCTTCAGTATGACTTGTTTAATCAGCACAGAAGCACCATACAGGGAAAACTGCAGTGCTTTCCAAATGGTGTCTCCCATAACTGATAGGAAGGTCTCATAATTAATATTAATTTGGCAAAGCTGAAATCATCCCAAAGGGAATTGTGCTGTATATTCAGATGCTTAATAGCAGTTAAAGGAAACTTTAGTGAAAGAAAATACCTAGACAGTAGTAAAGTACCATTCCATGTGTATACAGGATTTCTGTCCAGCCACAGGCACTAAATGCAATGCAGAGAGCAAGAAAGCAGCATGTAGCCATCAGAAATAGAGTCTCCGGGAATCACTGAGACCCACACCTGCTGAAGAGGCTAAACAAATGTAAAAGTCCTATACATCCTCAGCCTGGCTTCAGAGGAGAAAACAGGCTGGGGTCTATTTTGGTGCTGTAGGAGCATCAGCTTTGGTGCAAGCCAGGCTAGTCCCAGGTGACTAATCGTGCCTCTATAGTTGTCTAGACAGACTGCTTGTAGTACAAGGTAAAATTGGACCAAGAACACCAAAACACTGTAAAGGTAAGTCGTTGTATACATAAATTATTATGTTTCCAGGTTACATGCTACAAAGGAGGTGAATGTACTCCAGGCTTCCTATATTTCATGTACTTCAGGTAATTATTTGAAAGAAGGTCAAATTCTATGTAAAAGTTTTTTTAATTTAAACACATTGAGCTCATTCATTTTATATGCATTCAAAAAACATTTTTATTCTGCCACCACCTACTTTGAAACATAATGAGCTTAATGAAATCAGTGCATATAATAATTTTATTTTATAAATAAAATGAATAAAATATAAAAAATGAGAGCTTATTACATGAAAACATTGAGCTGTAATGGAAGGAAGAATCTGACTGCGTGTCAGTGAATGAAAAAAACATGTAATCTTGAGGAATAAGCTGTGCAGGTCAAGACAAAATCGCCAGATGAGAAGGTTATACAAAATTCTCTCTCTCAGTGGCCAAAATCTGACAGATCCCATACCTGGCACAGTGCTGTCACTCCCAAAGTCTTGCAGAGATACCAATGAAAGTGGAAATTGTCCATAGTCTTCTGCAAGGATTCAGAACACCGTATTTTAAGCCTATAAGATGTGTGCTGTACAGGAGAGACTTTATAAATGCTGAGGATCTTCATGTACCTCGTGGCTCAAGAAAGAAAATCACACTGCTGTCCACTTAAAAGTGATTATGGAAATAAAAGTGACTAATGCATAACTGTTTTGCTTACAAATTTCAGAGTATTACAGGGAATTTTCAATGTCCATCCATGCCTATGGATGCTGGATAGAATCCACATAGCTGCTCAAAAAGGGCTTCTGAGGGTTTTACTCCTTCATGCCCAGCAGAGGGTGGTAAATGCTAGAATTTGCATTTGCCAAATTAGCTGTCATTTGGCTCAGTCTTCAGCTATGAGTTTGTTTCATTAATATTTCTCATTATCTGAAGTTGG